CCTATTTCCCCATCTACAGCATCAAATTCTGTGGCCCAGTCCATTTCGCCATTTCTTCCAGGCTGGAAGAACTCGAAGATGACCCGAGCTCTTCCGAAGATTTCCGAATATTTCACTGGTGGTGGCTCTCGAATTCGAGTATCAACCTCGTTTGCTCGATGAGTATAAATCTCAACCGTTGTCTTTTTTCTTCGTCTTGCCGCAAAACGTTTGTTTCACAGATGGTGCCAAGGAAAAACGCCCAGATCCATAAAACACCCTTACTTATTGGATCCTAAACTGTCGAAAGCTTACGAGCTACATGATGAAATCACGTGATCATGTGTCAGGAATGTGACGCACGACACAACCGCGCATGTGCAACATTTCAAGAGAAAAATAACGGAAAGCTGAACATTTCCAAACGCTTCGCGATACAAACACGATTGCAAACGAAAAATGAAACAAGTGAAAATTCGCGCGCAGAAAACCGACCATCGCGGGACTCCTGGGACGGAGTGACTTTCATCACACTGAGGGAGGTAAAACCACAGCAACAAACCGATGAATTGTGCAGGATCTGTTGTAGACCTGGATCAGTAAATTGTACTCGAGAAAATAAACATTGAACGGCAAACTGATCCTTACGGCTGAGAAAAAAGAACGAAAACAAGAAGAAGAAAAATAAAAAATATATATATATATATTGCCCGATATTTCGTTCACGCATTTTATTGCAGCCTCCGTGGAAGGTTTGTTTTTCAAACCGAAATATCGGGCAATATATATTTTATTATTTTTATTTTTCTTCTTCTTGTTTTCGTTCTTTTTTCTCAGCCGTAAGGATCAGTTTACCGTTCAATGTTGACTTTCATCAACCAATCAGATTTCTGCTGAAAGGAGAATAGATCTGGGTACTAGATTAGGCGAAGCTTTGATAAAGACCTATAAAGTCAGAGTGAATTAAAGTAAGGGCATATTAAAGAATTAATGAATTTGAAAATAAAACACTGATATCTCACCCTGGCCATGCCAAATGATTCCTGGGTTTTGAAAGACGAGCATACAAACAATATTCTGCAAAGATCGGTAATAGCGCTGAAGGCGGTCACTGACCACTTCCGACTGCTTCCGACCACTTCCAAGTTTGGGGAAAAACGAGTGAATGATAATAATTTTTTGTTACAAATCAGTTGAAAGGTAAACAAACCTTTATCAATGTCGTCTGTTCAAGGACGGAAGGACAGTCTCCAGTTTCAGTGCGAACCTTGAAGAATAAGCTGATTTCTTTTAAAAGCTTTTTTTAGCAAGAGGATCTGCGTTCGTAACTTCGTAGAGAAAACTTTTAAACGGACTGAACAGACTATGAAAGAGCTTTTTATTTCTCGGTCGTATATAAGCGGATTTTCACGCCATATGGCTATGAAAAATATTCAGACATGCAGAGCGAAGTGTATATCGAGTTTCTGTTTCCCGCAATAATCCAACAGTTTACGGCAACAACAAAAAACTTCGTGACCAGAACTAATAACAAAGAATTTGATTACGGTCCGCCATCAATATAGACTAACGCTAAAAAAAGAAACTCTGGCTAAAATAGCCAATAATAAATCCTTAAAAGGCTCTTTTTAGTGTTATTTTGGCTGTTTTTTTTTTTCTTCAAATAGTGCAGTGTTATTAAAACAAGTACATATACAGGCATAGTATTTATTGGGTGTAAAGGGGAAGCGAATTTTTGGCATGGTTTATCGACGCCCCCTACACAGATATCACGCAGAAAATAAATTTCAGTGATTTTTTGAAACACGCGAAAACATGCACAGATTTCATACGATAGATGCGGAATAATATCTCGGGATCAGTATAAAGTAATTCATGTTTGTCATCAATGCTCTGTGTTATGATTATAAATGATTTTCACCCAGCACATGCAGCAAGACTTAAAATAACCCCCCCCCCCAAAAAAAATAACTTTCGTGTCTGCCGAAAAAACGCGGCTTAAAAACGATTAAATTTATTTAGGGGTCATTTCTGAAACAAATGCTTTCATAGCTCTGAACGTAAACACTGAAAAAAGCTACATTTTGTCTACAAATAGATTCAATGTTTTGATCGCGGAAATGAGCCAGACTGCCGTTTTTGGATTACCGCAATTGGCCAATTAAAATTGTATTATCATTAATAATTTCATGAAAACGGTTTAACTACTTTAAGGCTTTAAGAGCTTAGATGGATTAAAGAGGATTGGACGAAAAAATGGAGACGTAAATGAGTTGAAGTTGACCATGAGCCGTTGCTGAATGCTTACCAGTGACGGCCATGAGCTGAATTAACGTTGTGACCCAACTGTTTACTCATGTTTACTCATGTTTACTTGGTTTAGACTTTCACTAAACAGAATAATGAAACACTTACATACCGTATTTTTGGAGGCTAGATGCGACGAAACCCAGTTCTACAGCAAAGCCACTCAAGAAACCGTTAGTTCTTGTAGTCGAGCACAAACAAACGCTTACTTAGTCCTAGAAGTTCCCGTTGTGAACTGCTGTTGTGATTCACGTCGCTTCTCCAAACATTTTCAACGGGTGTTACCTAGTATGGTATGATTAAAATGTCCGCCAAGTTCTTAAAGGCATTTTTTTCTTCGCGAAGTAAGAGTTTTACAGCTCGGTCACAGCTTGAATGAAGATTTGGAGGTCAACTTTCCAGACTAACATATGTGACAACTTTAAAATAGCGATGCTGGATAGTGGAGAATGGAAACCCAGCGAGCTTCGTGGTTTCCTCACGGATGGTACTGTGTTTATTCTGTTCATTGCATTTCCTTCCTCGTACGAAGTTGATGATTTGTTTTTTTTCCCAAACATCCACGAGTTGGGAATTGAGTTCTTCAAGGGTACAGTAACCTTCCCTTGTAGAGGTCTAACCGTAGCTTGTGTCGAAAAAATACAGTGGAATGACGAATCCATCCCGATTTCTCGAGCTTCCAAGGGAAACGAAAATTATTTCGAGAAATCGGGAGTTCGAAATATCGGGGGTAAAATTACAGTGAAACAAATTCAAGGGAAACAACTTTTGGTTCGAGCCGTATCGAGGTCTTTGAGAAATCGAAGGTTCGAGAAATCGGGTTTCCACTGACAACCAAAAATATGTAGCAAATCGACAAAAAATCGGCGAGGAACAAAAATCATGCTTCAGCGTGGATTAATCCGGATAAAAAGAGCATTTTAGCTTTTTATTTTGTTTAATAATTTACTAATCGTGAACATTGTAATAACTGCAATTTTCACTTCGGCATTAATTACTGAATTAAGGCCAAGCATGTCACACATTTCTTTTGATTTACTCATGTGAATTTAGCCATGGTGGTACATTGAAGACAATATCCTCTGCTTGATGATTTTCTTTATTCTCATTACCGTTTGCTTGACAATGTATTTATACTGTTAGAAGAATTTAGATGTTGACCATTAAAAGGGTTAAAAGTCGAATCTGATTGGCAGGTAAAACATGTCCCCCAGGGTCCCCTCCCCCCCTCCTTCCTGTACGCGGAAACGACCCACAATCGAACACCTCCACGTAGAGCCAGATATGCTCGCCTACAGAAAGTTGGAATGCATACAACTCAACGTTTTTGAAATATTTCTTCAATTGATAACTTAGCTTGAATTTCAACAGTCTCCTCTGTCGCTTACTCCCGAGAGAGACGTCGGGTTAATAATAACTGGCATATAATTCAAACTCATTTAATCAAAGTGTGTTTCTAACTTTCAAGTCTGTGGATGAAACCCTAGTGTGTGACCATTCAAATGAAAGCTATTGAACTGCACGTTCATGTGGTACTGTTTATTATGCTGTACAAGGTGGTTCTAACTTTTCAGTCTGTGGATGAAACCCCAATGTGTGACCATTCAAATGAAAGCTATTGAGCAGTACTTCCATGTGGTATAGTTTGTCTTTCCATACCTTGCAAAATTAAATTTGGGATTTTTTCAATTTTGTGCTTTGCCACTCTTGACTTCTCTTGAGAGTGAAAGGGTCAAGTCTGGTCTCCGATATTTTCTCGGTACGTTTTTGCATGTTAGTATCCGGCTCATCTCGTGATGTTTGTTTTTATATTTTACATGACTGCTCGAGGAATGTTTTTCAGATTCGGTCACTGACCTCTCTGCTTGATAATGCATTTGTATTCAGTGTGAGGCCGTCGTATGTTGATCAGATCACTCATGACAATTGAATAAGAGCCCCGTTTTCTCAGTAATGACTGTGGCAATAATCACATCTGGTCCCTCATAACAAACGAACCAAATAAGGAACTCTATAACCATAACGTACGAAACCTGCGGCACGCGCGGGAAAGCGCGCGTAAGCCTGCTTCTGATTGGCTAAGGATACAACATGTTTGCGCTGATTGGTTAATTAGAGCACTGTTGCACGTGTATTTTTTAACCAATGGTAGATCAGAGCTCAGAAAATGTGACCAACAGGAAAACTTTTGTTACGTGATTCTCGTGATCACCTTCCCTTCGAAACGTTTAAAAACATTTTTCGTTTTTTTTTTCAACGACGTCAATTAACGTATAGTTCCTTGATTTAAGTATTGAAATTGGCAATCATGCAACAATTAACTTTCTTTTGGTTCGATATTATACAGTGAGTGAGTCTGAAATCCACCTTAGGCTATTTAAAATCAAGGCCGCAATACTCCACTTCTGGATTGCGCAAAATGATCATATCAGTAAAATACCTTTCCTCGTAAAACACGCATGCCTACGTGAGCTTAGCACTTAACTTCACTTATGTTCTCAATTAGATTGTAAAAACAATACAATAACAGTCGGCAAACAAAAACAATGATGATTAAATATGAAGACGAAGTTCACTAATTTGTTTATATCTCTGCGAAGTAAAGTAAATTTCAAAACATTTCAAACACAGTTTAAACGTTCGTGTTTGTTCCTCTCTACTCTTTGCTTCGTATTAAAATTGATTCTAAATTTATGCAATATTTTTTCTGTTGAGCGGCGGTGGCCTAATGGTTAGCGCGTTGGACTCCGGATCGAGCGGTCCGGGTTCGAGCCCTGGCGGCCGGGGTCACTGTGTTATGTTCTTGGGCAAGACACTTTACTCTCACAGTGCCTCTCTCCACCCAGGAGTCAGTATAAAATGAGTACTGCCGAATTGTCAGGGCAACTTGACAAAAATGCTGGGGTTTACCTGCGATGGACTAGCATCCAATCCAGGGGAGTGCTAGCGATACTTCTTGTCGCTACACGGACTGAACCGAGCTCTGGTACTGATGAGCACGTGGTTCTTCCAATCCCTTCGAAAATTCCCTTAAAATCTGCCTCAGAGAAGGACGGACGCCAATCTCTTACTTCCCTCTTACTTCTCCAGTATGGCTGTTATTGAAAAGCCCTTTGATTTGTAGCCGCTGTGTCTAAGGGGTTCTCGACCGTCTAAGTGCCTCCGCCCTTCGCGTTTCGCCTCAGGTCATAAATTAGGTAAAAACATGAACAGTATTTGTAAGTACTGTCGTTAAGTTACGTATGTTTTTGTTTCTTGGAGCCAGAGCACTCAAAACAACACGATATTGCTTGGCCTCGTGATCTGTATATGATCTCTCATAAGCGGACACCTCTCCGTAAGCGGACACTTTTTCTGGTCCCGTGACGTTCGACTGTATTTTGGGTTTCATTTCTCAGGCTCTTCAGTGTAGTCAACCTTAGTTCTCCAGGAAATTATCACAAAATATAACCTTCTTTTTCATCGGCATAGGGGACCCATTGTTGTTGAAAAATCAACCCCCCCCCCCCTCCCCCACTTTTTAAGCAAGAAAAAGGCCTATCTTCAACTCCACCTTCAGTGTTAATTAAAACGACAGAAAGTGTTTCACTCAACATTCAAGGGAGCCGTTCTGCTCAATTCATTAGACGCCGTTTTATTCGCGAAATCTATACTAATTAAATATCAAAATATAGTCTACATCGTAATCCGTTTTAGCTAAACAATTTCGAATTCTTAAGTCGATGGTATGCTTTATGAGCTATATTCGATCAAAAGAGCCGGGACCGTCTTCTAAAATTAACTCACAGACATTTCTTAAAATCATGTCAGCTTTATCGTCTATTTTCTCGTATTTCAGTCAGTTTACTTCGCAAAACTTGAAAGTTCATGCGCTCTCTCTCATGCGCTCTTTGAACCTGCTCAAATTTTTCTTGAGAACAAAATTTAAATCTAACTTTTAAGTTTGAGTGATGAAACCCCACCGCGCGCGTGTGACCATTTAAATGGAAGCTATTGAGCAGTACTTTCATGTGGTACTGTTTGTTTTTCAGAATATGGAAACTAAAAAAAAAAAATAACAATACAGGAATATTATCAATGGAGAAAAATAACCAGAAGCTAATATTCGTGAGAAATATTGAGTATACACTTAGTGGAACGCTTTCTAAAAAAAAACGTTATTATTTTATTCTATATAGCAACATTATATGGAGACTGACATGTTTATTTTACAAGAGGGATAAATGTCTCGATGGATTGCATGCATGGAAAACGTTTTACAAACATCTCTTTTTAAAACGTGCCTTAAATCACAAGGAGCTCCTAATATATGTTACGAACAAGGCTATAAGGACTGAGTGTATGTTGTACCACAATCAAATTCAGTGTTTACAAACATCCTACCTTTAACAATCTTTAATTGACTGTAACGGTAGTGTTAACTGGGGTAGACAGCTCGGCAAACCGGACTGTTAAAAAAAAAGTCAGTCCCGCGTACCCGCTAAGATAAATATTATTTTTCGGATCTCCCTGCCGCCTCGGTTTTAGAGACAAAACGTAAATATTTGATATTGAATATTGCATGTCTCTAGCTGTAGCTATGTTCACTTTCATATATGACCTTGGACGAAAACTTGAGCGGGTGTCCCGTAGGACTCCAAAGACACTGACGCCCACAGGATTATCACACGGTCCTAAAACATAACTTGTAATCGAAAGCCGAAAATGTTAGGCGAATTTCACGCAAAGATTTGTCGGCTCGATTTTGCCTGATTTGATTAAGAAAATTACTGAGCGGACGAAAATCGCCCCGGCGATTTATAAACTATTTATAGCAGCGCCACAGATTTTATAAATCGGGCCGATTTTCATCCTCGCGCTATCCAATACGTACTGAAAAGAGAAATCGGGCCGGCAAATCGTAGCATGTAAATTAGCCTTTTACCCTGATCATGTGTGTGCGTTCCCGATGCATTCCTACAGTCCTATCACTGCCGGGTTTCATGCAATCCATTATACTTAAAACGATCCGCTGTTAAACTGTACCGACGTTTTTCTCTTGGCATTACTGAATGATACATTTTTCAACAGACGGCTTTTTCAGTTGCTTTTATTATCTGACTTCAAAGTTGTACGACCGAAACTGAATGGAACTGAAGATAGCTCGAACTTAACCGCATACCGTCCAGTCCTCAACGCCAAAAAATCCGGGCAAAAAATCAGTGAAAGGCGTAATCTTAGCTAATCTTATCACGGGTTATAAGCTAGCCCCCACTTGCTGGTTCATTATGAGATTGGACAGATTGGGAACCGACTCTCAAGTTAATTAACTTTATATACAAAACTAAACGGTTTTAGAAAATGTTTAAGCTTTATTGCGTACAGGTACTGGGGCAATACTCTTTGATTATATGGAAAAACCGGGCGTCGATAAAGTCTGGAACACGGAACATCCCGGAACATTCCGGAACATAAAAAAAATATATGAAAAAATAAAATAAATAAAAAACTTAATTAATTAATTTAAATTAAATTAAAACTAAACAAGAAAGAAAAAATATTAAAAAGAAAATTAAACAATAAATAAATAACTATAAAAAAAAGAAGAAAAAAAATGGTATCGTCTCCGAATATGAAAATATATTTAATGGGAAGTTGGATGGGGGAGGGGGACATGCAACTAACCGCAATGACTGCAGGCTTACCTTTTAAAATCATGAAAATTCAAGGTAACTCACAGGGCTGTTCTAACTACCCCCACCCGGCCACCCCTGCCAGTTGTTCGCCATGGGTCAATTATGACGGTCATGACATCTTTGGCTCTGTGATTGTGAATTTCGTCGTAGCCTATGGCTCCGTCCGCGGTAGGTCCGCGGTAACGATGGGGTGAAAAGAAAAGGGCGAGCCGGGGAAGAGTGGGAAGGCGGCGCCTTCGTTTTCCTCCCCAGTCCCCAGTCGATTTTTCCCCGATTTCCTCTTCGTCCTATACCCCACACAGCGTACTTATACCCCACTTATACTTAGGAGCCTGTTCACAGCCTAATCTCGTCGACCAAAACACACAGCTTGATTAAGTTCTTCTCACAATCATGACCGTCACCTGATTTGACGTCCTGGCGAACAAGGGGTGGCCGGGTGATAGTTAGAACAGCTCCCCCCCCCCCCCCCCCCCCCCGTTCCAACGTCCTCTTGAAAAAATAAAGGGTTATGATTTTATAAAGGTGAGCCTTCAGTCATTGCGGTCAGTTGCATACATTGTATTTTGTTCACTGCATATTCACACCCCGCACAACTTTCCACTAATTATATTTTTAAATTCGGAGATTGGACCATTTTTTTTCTTCTTGTTTTTCTTTTTCTTCTTGTTTAGTTTTAATTTAATTTTAATTAATTAATTAAGTTTTTTTATTTATTTTTATTTTTTCATATTTTTTTTATGTTCCGGAATGTTCCGGAATGTTCCGGGATGTTCCGGGATGTTCCGGAATGTTCCATGTTCCCGACTTTATCGACGCCCGGAAAAACCGCCTGAGACGGGGTGTATGTAAAACCCGGAACACACCCGGAACACCCCGGAACACCCCGGAACACCCCGGAACACCCCGGAACACTCCCGGAACACCCCGGAACACCCCCGGAACACCCCCGGAACACCCCCGGAACACCCCGGAACACCCCCGGAACACCAACGGAACACCCCAGGAACACAAAAAATATAAAAATAATAATAAAATAATAATAAATAAATAAAATAAAAACAAATATATTTATATAGTGGCTGAAGTAGTGAAATCGAACATGGTCAGCGGTCAAGAGCCGTTAACGAATCGACTGATACCGAACACTTCCGAAGATGCCCCGAATATTTCCGAAGACTTACGAAGATGTCCCGAACACTTCCGAAGATGTCCCGAAGATTTCCGAAGATGGCTAGAAGACTTCCAAAGATGTTCCGAAGATTTACGCCGTTTTCAGAAGACCCGAATTTTTCTCTGGTCCCGAGGGTGTCCGCTTACGTAAAGACGAAGAGTAAAAGAGAGCGCAGAAAAATTCGCCTGATACTCAGGTTAGGGAGGTTCGACTGAACAAACAACGACATGATTGACCAATGACCAATTGTCTACGAAATTGCACATGACAATGACCTCCGATTACCTCAAATTCAATGTCACGCTCTGTGGCGGTCCTTAGCCACTTATTCACTCTTAGATAAGAAGCTTCGGAAAATTCGGTCTTCTGAAAACGTGCGGAAATCTTCGGGACATCTTCAGAAGTCTTCGATATACCTTCGGAAATCTTCGGGACATCTTCGGAAGTGTTCGGAAATCTTCGGAAATCTTCGGAAGTGTTCGGGACATCTTCGGAAATCTTCGGTACATCTTCGGAAATCTTCGGGGCATCTTCGGAAGTGTTCGGTATCAGTCGATTCGTTAACGGCTCTTGACCGCTTACCGTGTTCGATTTCACTACTTCAACCACTATATAAATATATTTGTTTTTATTTTATTTATTTATTATTATTTTATTACTATTTTATATTTTTTGTGTTCCTGGGGTATTCTGTTGGTGTTCCGGGGGTGTTCCGGGGTGTTCCGGGGGTGTTCCGGGGGTGTGTTCCGGGGTGTTCCGGGAGTGTTCCGGGTGTTCCGGGGTGTTCCGGGGTGTTTCGGGTGTGTTCCTGGTTTTACATACACCCCCTGAGACGGCGAACTTAACCTGTTAATCCTTTTCAGTTTATAAAATCCTTATCCTTAAAATGTCTGCTATTATTATCATTCACTTGGTGTTATTGTTGCCATTAATCAATTTTA